CCAGGGTGAATACAACAGATGAGGGGCACCTTTTTCTTAAAGCAGGATCTGTCAGTTCTGCTTACAGCACTGAAGCTCACAGACCCCTGACTGCTGCCACACCTAGCAGAGCAAATGCCCATCTGTTATTACATATTCCCATACAATATCAGTGTTTTTGCTCTGCTGACTGCTCATGTCACACATCTTGAACAAGTGTTCCAAATCCTCACATGTTTTTTGACTAAAACAAAAATTAAAATCTAAAAGAGCACAAGCATGAAAGCCTTTTGAGAATATTAAGATTGATGAAAAGGACACTAAATAAAAAATTGAAATACCCTTTTACAAGCCAATGGCACAAAAATATTTTCTGATCCAGCACTCTATGTACACATTTTCTAGTGGTATTTTTGTATCTCTGAGAACTAAAACCAAATTTAATAATCACTCATCAAAAATAAGAAAATAATATCTAATAGATAGGTGATCTGTACAAGACATGTCATGTACAATTTATGGAAGTCAGATGGAAGGAATTATGGAGTCCAGCCATTGTCTAAATCTTTGTGTAAGGAGAAAGTAAGGCAACATCATGAAGTTCACACCTGCACAATTAAGAAGTGGTTGCTCCTTGTAATCAGACGGGAAGTGTTAACTATCTGCTACACCAATCAATACCTTGTTAACCTTTCACATGTACAGAAACTGAGCCATATAATGGAAAGTTTCACACATCTTTTTAAGCATAAGAATCTGAGTCAATTTTGCCTTGTGGCTTCCAAAACAGTTTCTGTCCTTCTCCTTTTCAACCAGAGATATTTCAGAGAAATTTGCAGAAAAACAAAAAACAGAGGAACGTGTAACATCCGTCTTTTCTAATAAAGTGATATTCACATTAAATTTAGGAAGAGAAATATGAGAAAGATTAAATAATTAAAGTGTTCATTGGAAAATAATTGTGAATCCATTTTTAAACAGAGGAATAAACACCTTAAATATACAACACAAAAATTAAATATGGTTTTAGATGATGCTTATGAGAGTAAAAAAAGAAAATATTATACTCAAGTGTTAAACACATTTGAACAACAAATCATATCAAAACCAGGATAAATATTACAATGCAAGAAATAAAGTCTTAAGGTGTCACTGGCCAGCCTGCAAAATCAGTATTGAACAAGCTCAGCCTTATTCAAAACTGGAATTCCTCACCTCACAACAGAAGGGCAGGAAAGCTGCTGCCCTTGCACATGGAGACCCCATACAGTGGCTCTGAGCTCAGAGGCTCCCATGTGGATCTGACTTTGGTGGGCACGGTCTGGAGGAGAAGGAACCTGTCACAGAGTCGTCTACACCAGTGCAGGAGGTTACTATGGCTGCATCTCAAGGTTTTCAACACTAACTGGCTGTTGTTGAAGTATTTATACATAAAGTGGGGAGTGGTGTTGGGGGATTGTCTAAGATTCACAAGGATATTAAGAGACTCAAGAGTTTACAGCAACAATTTAAGTTCTAAACCAGCCAGGTGCGGTGGCTCATGCTTGTAATCCCAGCACCTCAGGAGGCTGAGGTGGGCGGATTGCTTGAACTCAGGAGCTCGAGGTCAGCCTGCGCAACAAGACGAAACCCCATCGCTACAAAAAATACTAAAAAAAGTTTAACTGGGCAGAGTTGTACACCTGTGGTCCTAGCTACTTGGGAAAGTGAGGTGGGAGGACTGCTTGAGCCCAGAAGTCGAGGCTCCAGTGAGCCAAGACCTTGCCACTGCACTCCAGCCCAGGTGTAAGAGCGAGATCCTGTATCAAAAAAAATTAACATTTAATTTTTTTTTTAAAGTTCTAAACCTACAGCTTTATTGAAGGTACAGCTGAAAGTACTGGTGTAGGTGCAAGGCATGCAGGTTGTTACATTTTTTACTTCATTATGGAAAAGCACTGTGGTTAGAAGAAGAGGCTCTGGGCCAGGCACAGTGGCTTACACCTGCAATCCTGGCACCCTGGGAGACAAAACAGGGAGGATTACCCGTGGCTAAGAGCTCTACACTAGCATGGGAAACATAGGAGGACCCGGTCTCTACCAAAAAAAAAAAAAATTAATTAACCAGGTATGGTGGCTTGTGCCTGTAGTCCTAGCTATTCAGGAGGATGAGAGGGGAAGATCATTTGATCCCAGTAGTTCAAACACAGAGTCTCCTCTACGATTGAGTCACTGTACCCTAGCTGGACAACAGGACAAAATCCTCTCTCTCTCTCAAAAAAGACAAAATACAAAACAATCTTTGGAGAGAAAAGTATTGTCCTAAATAGACTCTCTTAATCATAAGACAGTGTAGGCTGGGTGTGGTGACTCACACTTGTAATCCCAGCACTTTGGGAGGCCGAGGTGGGCAGATCACCTGAGGTCAGGAGTTCAAGACCAGCCTAGCCAATATGGTGAAACTCCATCTCTACTAAAAATACAAAATAATTAGCCATGTGTGGTGCCGCATACCTATAATCCCAGTTACTCGAGAGGCTGAGGCACAAGAATCGCTTGAACCCAGGAGGCGGAGGTTGCCGTGATCCATGATTGCGTCATAGCACTCCAGCCTGGGTGACAGAGTGAGACTCTGTATCAAAAAAAAAAAACGAAAAAAAAGATAATAATAAGACTGTCAAATTTGCACAAAGATAGAAGAAACAACCAGTACTTTAAAAAATAAAAACAGAGCTAGAAAGCAGACATATACATATATAAAAATTAATTTATACATTGATGCATGGGGAGAGATCAGTTTTTAATAAAATGTTCCAGGAAATTGAATATTCACAGGGAACAACCAAGATCTGACCTTTGACCTCACATACACACAAAATCAATTCTAGTTGGTTCATAGGCTTAAATATAAACATAATAGAGTATTCAGAACACAATTTAGGAAAATATCTTCATGTCACAGGGTAGGGTGAGCTGTCTAACTAGACCTGAAAATTATTTAGCATGTCAGACAAGACACATTCTACATAGTCGAAGTGAGCAAAGACTGGGGCAGACAGTAGCAAACTCAAGGTTCCTTTATACCTTTCCTACAGAAAACTCAGACTCCAAAATGGAGCACAGGAGTGAAAATCGTGCTAACTTCTTGAGACGTCAGTGTGCACTGTAGGAAATGATAACATACAAAGCATGCAGTATATTATCAAGCCTATACTAACCTCTAAAAATTAATTTTCTAATAAATTGTGAGATATAACTTTTTGTCAATTGTAACAGGTCATTACTTCATACACCAGAATGGAAGAACAAAACCACTAACAAACGAAGAAACTAATACTTTTATCACTTATAAATAAATCACATAGTAATAATATAAATACATTATAATTACTGGAAAAACTATTTTCAATGTGCATACATGTGGATATTTGTCTTGTGTCATTCCTATGATTACATGGGATGGAACAAACAAGAAAAACACATTGAAAAGGTTTTCCTAAATTTTCTCTCATTCAGATGTAACTCTCCTGAATCACTCGTCAATTCATCTTGCCCATAATTTTCCCCATATTATTATGACCTGTGCTAATCTGAAGCTTGGTGATGCTGCACTTCTTGTGAGATTCCTATGTTGCTCCTGTGAGTTTATCTTTCCAACCTTCTGAAACCCCTTATGCAAGATATGATGTTAATGATATGACCTGAAAATGTCAATGGAAGGTTTATAGACCAAGCTCATGTATATGTAAATGAGGACAATAACATTATGGTTGCCTTCTCGTCAATAGTGTTTTACACTGTCTAATTTAAGGTGCACCTGTGTTTCATAAACGTGAAATGTGCCCTCTACGATGAGTGGAATACACTGTCCTCTGTGACTGCCAATTTCTCAGTGTTAGATTATGGGGGCTCATCAACTGTATTCTTACCTGCTATTGAAGGAATATGCTTAAATATTATCACATAAGTTCACCAAGTGCATTTACATTCTACGTAGCTATTAGACACATTAGAGTTACTAGTGGAACACTAGAATTCTTATGTTATGCATGGAAATGTAGTTTTATGAACTATGGTTTAAGAAATCCACTGAGGAAGAAGATGGCAATTATGAAGAGTTACTTGAAAAATTCACTGGAGTGATAGCTTTCTAAAGACCTAGAAAAAGCTGTATCTTGAAACTTTCCACTGCAGTCTTAGGAATATAATCAATGATCCTTGTAAGCTTTATTATAAACTCCATTTTTTCAGCTATAATATTTATGTAACTCTTTTTTCTTCATTCCCATTTGCCGTTTTAACCATATGGCTGGAGATCATAGAAATCACTTTATAATTAGTCACTGCAGACGTAGATGCATAATGGTCTTTATAAAATGTTTTAATCCGTCCCCTTGCTACTCTGGTCAACCCTAATTTGGGTACTTGGATTTGGGGACTGGTTTTGATGTTCCCTCAGGAATACACTGATAGAAGAAGAAACACATAAAGTATGAATTTCTGTATACCCAAAATTCAGTCAACCTCCTAAACGATGGGAGTTTCTTTATGTGTATGCAGAAACTCACATACAAAAACAAAAACTCACAGAATTTAGGAGGTTGACTGAATTTTCCCCTACAGTTTTAAATTCCAGCAAGGCTAAATGAAATACACATAGTGTCATGTTCTCAAATATCCAAGACATTCTTCCACTGAACTCCAACTTCTAATCAGGTTAGAGTGTGGAGTCCAAGTGTTGGGTATTTGCCTCATGATCTGGTCTAGAATTTGGTTTCTTTTAAATGGCATCTCTTTTAGAATTGTGATGTCCAGGCCAACCTCTAAGGAACTGTTGGTTTAAGGTATTGTGGGAAATCACATCTTCCATGCAGTTAGAGTGTGTCTGGGAACTCCCTGCTCAGCACTTTGTCATCTGCTTTCTCCACTCACTAGCATCCAACTGCAAAAATCCTGTTGTGTAAAAGATTCATATCCAGGTCTCTGTAAGTAGGGTGTGGCCTAAACCCATTTTTTAGAAACGTTTGTTGTACTCTGCTTACCTGCTACCTTGGTGGCTTTCGGGTTGGCTGTGGGCAACAGAATGCATGGTCCCAAACAATTCCTGATGGAGTCTGTAGAATAAAAAGAACTAAATTAGGACATATTTTTCTGAAAGGTTTGAAGGTACAGTTGTCTTTTGATTACTTGAAGAAGAAATCCCTGTACCAAGAGAACACTATCCTGAACGCAGAAATATGCTTTATGTTCCCTGTCACTGAAATTTCTAATTCTTGGCTTCTAATCTGAGTCATAGCTCCCAAAAATGCTTCAATGGGATCCTGAATATACACTGCTCAATGATGTCTGCACATGGGGCTTTCTGGATATGTGAAGGAAACGCAGCTTTTTCTGAACAAGTGGTTGCTGACACTCCAACTGGTGACTGGGCAACAGAGAAGGAGAAAAAGGATGACAGTCTCTAAAGCTTGATGGTGCCTTCCCGAAGCAGGTGTACCTGGGTTTGGAAAGGTGACTAGATAAAAAATGCTCGTTTTCTATTCTCTCCCTATGTACCCATTCATCTCTGGAAGCCAAAGATTTTTGCTTATGTCTTTGTTTTCTTTTTAAAGATATAATAATTTTAGAAAACAGATTTTGAAATAATTGCAGATTTACAAAAAGATACACAGGTACAACAGACAGTTTCATATACCCTTCAGCTAACTAAAATGTTACTATAATAACTATAGTATATTCATGAAAACTAAGAATTTCACTATGTTTCAAAACTATTAACTGATCTACAGATTTCCTTCATATTTTACCAGAGTTTCTAATAATGATATATTTATCTGTTCTAAGACCTAATCTAGAATACCGCATTGCAATTACTGTCAGGTATATTACTTAAGACTTGGTGCATAACAGACTACTATACATCTTAGTGGTTCAAAACCACACACATATTACTCACAGTTTCTCTGGGTCTTCAGTCCAGATGTAGGTGATGGCCCAGGCTAAGGCTCAGCTGCGGAAGGGTCTCCTTCCAAGCTCATGTAACCATTCTTAGGATTAACCTCTCTGACCTCATCAAGAAGAATTCATCAGTGAATTATCATAATCATTTAAAAAAATTAATACTAATTTATTACAAATTATTCCAAAAAAGTGGAGAAAACATGATTTCTCATTGTATACTGAGTTAGTTTACCCTGATACTGCAGCCAGACAAAGACACTTCAAATAGGGAAAATGAAGAACAATATACCTTATGAATACAGGGACAAAAATCATCAAGGAAATGTTAGTAAAACAAAGCAGAAACATGTAAAAAGTATTGTATGCTATATCAAGGGTATTTACCTCAGGAAAGCAAAATTTGGTTCAACATACAACTAGTGCTATGCACTGTATTCATATAATAAAGAACAAAAACCACATAATCATCTCAGAAGATGCATAGGCACTTGAGAATTTTCCAACTCCTTATGAGAAAAATATGCAGCAAATGACGCAGATAAGGGAACTGTCTCCCTTTTAAAGGGGATCCGTGAAAAACTAAAGTATCATCATAAGTTATCTGAAACGTTCACTAATTTCTCCAAGATTAGAAACAAGACACGGATTTCCACTCTTGACACTTGTTTTCAACATTGTACTAGAGGATACAGACATGACAGTTAGTCTAGAAACATAAATATAAGGCTTCGAGGATGGAAAGGAAGTCAAACTCTGTTGGCATATGACATGATCTTATGTATAAAACTTCTAAAGGACTCAATCAAATATGTTTAGAATTTAGAAATGAGTTCAACAAACTTGCAGTATACAAGGTGAAGATATAAAATCCTCTGAATTTCTATATGCTAGCAATTAATAATCCAAAACAAAAAACTCAGAATGTTCCATTTGAGATGACATCAAAAATAAGTTTATCAAATTAAGTATAAGATATATACACAAAAACTATAGAAAATATTTTGAAAAAAAACGGAAAAAACTTTGACTATTCACTGCTTATAAAGGCTAATGTTGTCAGGCTGGCAATATTCTCCAAAGGGATCTATAGATTTAATGCAACCTCTATCAAAATCCCAGGTGACACTCCCTTCCTCTAAATTCACAAAGCTTATCGAAAGTTCATATATAATGCAATAGACCCAGACTAGCCTAAATTATTTTGAGAAAGGAGAAAAAAGGTTGGCATGGGAGATACATACTTCCTGATTTCAAAACTCACTGCAAAGTAATACTAATCAAGATTTATAGTACTGGTATAAGAATATACATGTTGATCAATGTAATAGAATATAAGGCTCAAAAATGAATACATACATTTATAGTGAAATAATTTTATAATGTCACCAAATAAATTATATATGGATAAATATTTCTAATAAAATATTTCTAAGCAAGTGCATATTCCATGCAAGTCGAACTCCTGCCTCACACTGAAAATGTAAGTGACTCAAAAGGATCATATATCTATATATAATAGCTAAACAGTCCCAAAATGTAGAAAATAACACAGAAATACATCTTCGTGGTCTTAGGTTAAACAATCTTTTCTAAGATATGATGCCGAAAGCAAAAGGGAAGAAGAAGAATCAGGCATATTAAACGTCATTAGAATGTGAAACTTTTGTGATTCACACTGCACCAACAAAAATAAGACATCCAAAGAATGGGAGCAAATATTTGCAAACAAAAGCAAATATTGGCAAATGAAACCTAATTAAACTTAAGGGCTTCTGCGCAGCAAAAGAAAACTATCTAGAGAATGAACAGACAACCTACAGAATGGGAGAAAAGTTTTGCAACCTATGCATATGACCAAAGTCTAATATGCAGCATCTATAAGGAACTTAAACAAATGTTCAAGAAAAAAAAACCAACTCCATAAAAAAAAGAGGGCAAAGGACATGAACAGACACTTTCAACAGAAGATATATATGTGGCTAACAATCATATGAAGAAAAGCTCAACCTCACCGATCCTGAAAGAAATGCAATTAAAAATCACAATGTGATACCATCTAACACCAGTCAGAATGGCTATTACTAAATAGTCAAGAAATAGATACTGGCAAGGTTGTGGAACAAAGCAATTACTTACACGCCGTCAATGGACGTCTAAATTAGTTCAACCATTGTGGAAGGCAGTGTGGAGACTACAAGAAGACCTAAAAACAGAAATGTCATTTAACCCAGCAATCCCATTACTGAGCATATACCCAAAGAAATAAAAAGTGTCCTGTGAAGAAGACACATGCATGCATAGGTTCATTGCAGCACTATTCACAATAGTAAGAATGTGGAATCAACCTAAATGCCCATCAATGGTGGACTGCATAAAGAAAATGTGGAACATACACACCACGGAATACTATGCAGCCATAAAAAGTATCATGTCTTTAACACGAAAATGGATGGCGCTGGAGGCTATTATCCTTAGCAAACTAATGCAGGAACAGAAAACCAAATACCATGTTTTTTCTCTTATAAGTGGGAAGAAAATGACAAGAACACATAAACACACAGTGGGGAACAACACACACTGAGGTTTATCAGAGGGTGGGAGGCGAGAGAGGATCAGAAAAGATAACTAAGGGGTACTAGGCTTTAGTACATTGGTGATGAAATAATCTACAACAAACCACCATGACACAAGTTTACCTATGTAACAAATGTGCACATGTACCTTTAAACTTAAGTTAAATTAAAAAGCAAGTATTTGCAAGTTTTATAGGTGATAACGTCTATTGTTAATAATATACAGCAACACATCTTAAGAGCTCAAAAATAAAAAGGCATATATCTCAATCAAAAATGGAAATTATTCAAATACCCAATTCTCCATAAAAGCTACAGTCATATCCGAATCACAGGAAAAGACACTCAATGCCTTCTGCCATTATGAGGCAGGAGACTGGCAAGTTGTTTTCTAGTCACAATCCTGCTGATCAAAATAAGATCTGGTCTAGACAGCATCTAGTGAAGAAACCGGCAAAAGAAGACAAAGGGATCCCTGGTTGTCCTCACTGCTCACCGGCATGAGACATTCCCTCCAGCGCATGACTGTTTACAAATTCCATGCCAACAACCAGGAATTTACCACCTCTTTCCATGGCAACAACCCAGAAGTTACTGCTCCTGTCCTGGAAAGTTCTGAATCACCTGCCATTAAGTTTCATTGGTTCACCCCTCAACTTCCATGTAATTGAAAGTATTTTACCTTAGTGTAAAGATAGTTGATAAGAGCCCATAGGTTACCAACTGACGCAACGCCTATGAGTTAGCCCTGCTCTTAATGGAGCAGTACTGTTCAATAAAAGACTGCCATCTATCACCACTGGCTTGCCCGTAAATACTTTCCTGGGCAAAGCCAAGAACCCTGCCACTTGAAGCCCCAAATTTGGGGCTCACCTGTCCTGCAACAATAGGGGATGCGAAGTCTAAAAAACCATGATATATACTTCAAAAATCTAAAAGGTATATTGCTATGTGAAAAAATACAAGTTGGAAAAGGCAAAATACTATGTAATTCTACCTATATGACTCTCTAGAAAAGGAAAAAAGTATAGTGATAGCAAAGATCTGGTGGTAAGGGGGGCTTGCGAGAGAGAAAGGTGGAATCAGTGAAATACAGGAGGTTCTTTGGGGCAGTGAAATTACTCTCTCTGATACTGTATTGGTGGATACATAATAATGTTTCTGAATCCTGAAGAACTTTATAACACAAAGAGTGTACTAAATTATGCAAATTTAAAAACCTTACTTTGTAGGTAGAGGGTTTACAAGGAGGAATATCCCCAAAAGTAATATAACTATGTTCTGAATTTATGGAATAACCTCACTAAAGAAAGTGGGGGAAAGCAATGGGCCTAAGTAACTTGGGTAATAAGTGGACATGCCAAGGCTAAAAGCCAAAGTATTTATACCTAAGTGCTGTACTTTACTTGGTAAAATTGTTTCCCATTGGGGTATAAGTTACCTGTTCTGAAACCACTGTGCATGTATGTTCAGGCAGTATGATTACGAGACCAGCATCAAATTCTTCACAAGGAGAGTAAGAGACTACACACATCATTCATGTGGTGCTGGATTAGATCATATGGTATTGGAAACATTAGCAGAAATTACACAATTATACAGTTAGCCTGGAGTACAATTAAATACAGAGTTGCCTGGAGCACCTAGTAGTGGTTAAAGAAAATGCTGAACAACAAAACCAACCAACCATACAACACTGAACCTTAATTATGTGGGTATTTCAAAATTATACCAGGGACAACTAAAAAACCTTCCAATAGTCAACCATGCAACAATTTGAACAATCAAATAAATTAGCATATGTAAAGTATAAAATTAATATCCATGTTCAGATGATATCAATAATTTATGTATAAATGAATAAATATGTAATAGAATAGACACATGTTTATGGTTGAGGGTTCAAATAAATTTGTAGACATTCTGCCCATAAGAAGGTAGATCATACATCCCCACATTTTTTTTAGTTTGAGATAGAGTGTGGAGTCTCGCTCTGTTGCACAGGCTGGAGTGCAGTGGCATGATCTCAGCTCACCTCAACCTCTGCCTTCCAGGTTCAAGTGATTCTCCTGCCTCAGCCTCCGGAGTAGCTGGGAGTACAGGCACGTGCACTGTGCCTAGCTAATTTTTGTATTTTTAGAGGTTTCGCCATGTTAGCCACGCTGGTCTCGAACTCCTGACCTCAGGTGATCCACCTGCCTCAGCCTCCCACAGTGCTGGGATTACAGGCATGAGCCATCGTGCTTGGCCCATGACTCCCCACTTCTTAAATGTGTGTTGTGTTAGTGACTTTGTTCTGAAACATTCCATGGGGAAAAGGAAAAATAATAATAATTTCACACTGTGTGATAATTTGATAAAAATGACTTCATCTAGTTGATTAAATTAACATTAATAATGATAAAGCCTGTTGAGAGCCTGTGTCCTTGGTATGATGTGAGGAGAATGGCACCTTTCCTCTGTCATCTTCCTCTCCCAAACCCACAAATCTAGTCTTATCATGAAAAAAACCTCAGAGAAATCCCACATTAGGAATGTCAATGTAATCAAAAACTAGAAAATTCTAAGAAACTGTGACAGTCAGAGAAGTCTAAGGAGACATGATACCCAACCGTGCTGAGGTATCCTGGGTGAGATCCTGGAACAGAAATTAAAAATTAAGTGAAACATAAGAAAATCTGAATCAAGTATGAAGAGTAGTTAATGATAATGTTTAAAATTGGTTAATTCTGACAAATGTCCTACATTAAGAAGTTAATAAAAAGAACAACTGTAGTGGGATATATGGAAAATCTATATACTACATTTAAAACAATTCTGTAAACCCCAAACGATTCTTAAATGTATAAGGCTTCTTTTTATTTAAAGTCACTGCTGACCTTATAAAATAGAACATGAGCAATGTGTTCATGGCCGTTAATGGATCTCCTTAGCTTAATCATCTTCCTTAATCCCTTAAGGTCGCCATGACTGTGAAATTATTTGCTATCCTCTAATTTGTGTTTGTTATATTTATCTCTGTTTATATTTCTAACATCCATAATGTTTAGTTCTTCTTGTCTGCAAACTTAGATGACAGGTGTTTAATGTATACATGTCCCTAGTTTAATCATGACAAATCATGAGACAAATCCATATTGTGGGACATCTTACAAAATACAAAATATCTGACCTGTACATTTGAAAAGGGTCAAGGTCAAGAAAAATAAGTGGAGACTATGAAACTTGCAGATTGGAGAAGACCGAATGTGTCAGTTAGACCCTACAACGGTGCCCAGTGATCCCCACCTGCAAGAAATACCTTTGCTTTGTTGAGTTGCTTCCTCATGTCTCATGTGACCAGCACATGTGAACTCAACTTTTTGCCAACTCGGAGCTCTCCTAGACAGTGGCTACCTTGGTGGGAATGGAGTGGACACAGGTCCGACAAGTGCCACAAGGGTGTCTGACAGTGTAAACAAATATCCTGTGAGAAGGATGCTGCGTCAAAGACTTATGCTTCGGGGTATCCAACAGGATAAATAAGTATCCCATTGAGAGGCACACTGTAAACATCCAGGACCCAGTTTCCAGCAGAGTGCTGCTCTCTGAAGGCAGAAAATTCTGTTATCTTGAGACTTTTTGCCTTAATCTTAGAAATATAAGCAGAGATTATTCTAAGTTGCTTTCCAAATCTGATTCTTCATCCAGATCAACAACATACTTATCTCTTTCTCCCTCTCCTTTTATCCTTCATATCCCATAAATGAGGATCACGTGAATCTCACTGTAAGCAGGGAATGGAGATGCACGTGCATTGCAGTTTTCATGGAATGCTTTGCTCTGACCACTTGTTACTCTTGTCAGCTCCACTTGTTGATACTTAGAAAATGAAACAGGTTTTGGTGTTCCCCAAAGAGTGCACTGAATGAACAAGAAACTCACATAGCGTATAATTTAGAATATGTAGAGCATATTTGCACTGAGAGTTTCAGCTTCTACTAGGGCTCAATTGAGTGAACAGGAAGCCCTAATCTCCAGTAGAGGAATCATACACCCTTTATTCAGACTAGAGGGCGGAGACAGCGTTGGGTTCTTGCCTAAGGACATGGTCAGATGATGGGGTGTTTTCAGTGGCACCTTTCTGAGAATTCTGGTGGCCAATCCAGACTCAATACAAATCATATTTTCCACACTATCATAGTAATGTTTGCCAGCTTAGTGCTCAGCACTGTGTCCTCTGTGCCTCGGACATCATGGTAGCAGAATTTCAAGTCTATCACTTTTCCAGTCTTAACCCTGAGCACTCAGAGTTCATCGACCCTCTTGCCACCTAGAGATGAGTCTGTCCTTCTACAATCTACTTCTCTCTCCTTCCTGGCCTGCCACTTGGTGATTTTTTTTTTCCCTCAAGAATTTAGTCATGGATGATCTTCACAGTACACATCATAATAGACCAGATGTGTGCATTGAAATGAAGAGGAAAATGGGATTGTACAAGTTACTTACTTTATAGAAACTCCTGTTATAATAAAAAGAGCAAATCTCCATGACTTAAGATCACCAATTTAAATGAAACTGTCCTTTCCTATGGGGTGAATTGTAAGATTAGAGGCTTAAG